GGACAAACTGCAACCGAGGTGTGTGCCCTTAGCGGGAACCGGACCCGGGTCTCTCTGCTCCGCAGGCTGACGCTCCAACCGCTGAGCCAAATCGGCCAGGGCCATAGGCATAAATCTTCATGACCTTGAATTTGGCAGTGATTATTTAAATATGACAAGCCTGGCTGGTGTGGCTTAGTGGTTGAGCATTGACCCATGCACCAAGAGGTCACCAGTTCAGTTCCCAGTCAGAGCACATGCCTAGGTTATGGGCCAAATCCCCAGTGGGGGACATGCAGGAGGTGGCCAATGGATGTTCTCTCTCGTCCATGTTGCTATCTCTCTTTCCCTCTCCCTTCCTCTCTCTCTGAAATCACTAAAGAAAAAAAAATTTCAATAAATAAATATGACACCAAAAGCAGAAGCAACAAAAGAAAAAATAACTGGACTTCATCAAAATTAAAAACTTTTGTCATTAAAAGTACACCATTAAGAAAATGAAAAAGGCCCTGGCCCCATTTGGCTCAGCAGTAGAGCATCAGTCCTCGGACCAGTGAGTTGCAGGTTTGATTCCAGTCAAGTGTACATACCTTGGTTGCGGTTCATCCCTAGCCCTGATGAGGGTCGTGCAAGAAGCAACCAGTCGATGTGTCCCTCTCATGTCGATGTCTCTCTCTCTCTTTCTCTCCCTCTCTTTCCCTCCCACTCTGTCTAAAGATAAACAGAAAAATATCCTCAGGTGAAGATTAAAAAGAGAAAAAAGAAAATGAAAATAACCCACTCAACGGGAAAAAAAAATTGCTAATCATATCTGATAATAGACTTGTATCTAAAATACAAAAAGAATTCTTAAAACTCAATAATAAAAAGTACTCCAGCCAGGCTGGTGTGGCTTGGTGGACTGGTCCCAGTTTGATTCCCAGTCGGGGCACATGCCCAGGTTGTGGGTTCCATCCCAGGTAGTAGACGCACATGGATATCTCTCTTACATGAATATTTCTATCTATCTCTCTCCCACTAAAAAAATAAATAAATAAATAGAAACATATTTTTTAAATCCAATCTAAAAATTGGCAAAAGATCTGAATAGAAATTTCTCCAAAGATATACAAATAGCCAATAAACACATGAAAAGATGCTCAATGACATTAGTCATCAGGGAGATTCAAATAAAACCACACTGAGATATCACTTCACACTCACTAGGATGGCTATAACCAAAAAAGGCAAACAAGAACAAGTATAGGCAAGATGTGGAGAAATTGGAACCCTCATATATTGCTGGTGGGAACGTAAAACAGTGCAGCCGCTTTGGAAAATAGTCTAGAAGTTCCTGAAAAAGCCAAACATAGAGTAATAAATCACATGACCCTGAAATTACACTATTAGTTCCAACCACATGAAAATGTTCACATTTGATTCCCAAGAGAAATAAAAATATACATCTACACATAACAGCAGCATTATTCATGACAGTAAAAAACATGAACAACCAAAAAATATATAAACCCAAATGTCCATCAACTGATGATAAAATGATTTTAAAAAAGGTGGCATATCCACACAAAGGAATATTACTCAGCCATAAAAAGAAATGAAGTACTCATAGATGCTACAACATGGATGAACCATGAAAACTCTAAGTGAAAGAAACCAATCACAAAAAATTACATATTGTATAATTTCATTTATATTAAATGTCTAGAATAGAAAAATCGTCAGAGACATAAAGTAGATTAATGGTTGCTCTAGGACTGAAGGGGAGGGGCATGTTAGAGGGTGATGACTAAAGAATATGGATTGGGAGGGATGAAATGTTCTAAATTTGATTGTGGTGATGGTTGCACAACTCTGCATATACGAAAAACCACTATATTATACACTTTAAATCAGTGGATTGTATGGTATGTGAATTATATCTCAAAGAAGCTATTAGATGTCACCCCAATCAATTTAATTAAAATAAACTTAAAAAAATAACCATCACCCCAATAAATTTAATTTTAAAAGTTTAAAAAACTGTTAGGGAAAAAAATTAGCCCTGGCCGATTTGGCTCAGCGGTTAGAGGGTCGGCCTGTGGTCCAGAGAGACCCGGGTTCAGTTCCTACTAAGGGCACGTACCTCGGTTGCAGTTTGTCCCCAGCCCTGGTTAGGTTATGCGGGTGGCAACCACTCAATGTGTCCCTTTCACGTCAATGTTTCTTTCTCTCCCCCCCCCCCATCTGAACAAAAAAACTGGAAAAATGTTCTCGGGTGAGGATAAAATAAATAAATAAACCATACTCTCTTCCTCTATGACACCTTTCTTGCCTTCCAAAACAGACCTTTCTAACCACATCTCCCGTTCCCTGCAAGGACTTGAGGACCTGCAACTGACACTTTTTTGCACTTATTTGTTGTCTGTTTTCCTCCCCTAAGCAGTGGGTTCCTCAGGCAGAGATTTGGCTTATTTTTTCTTGGAATTCACAGCAACTGTACACTGTGTGTATTGCGTGTGAATGGGTACATCATAAGTATTTGCTGAAAGACTATCTTGATAGCTGTCATGTGGAAAAGGGGCTGTGCTTTCCTTACATACTACTCCAACGGGTAGAAATGGAAGCTACGATGACACAAAATTTAAGAATTTTCAAATAGTCAAAGCTACCCCTTCCTTCAAAGCAGGGTTCCTGGGTTCTGTGAATTCTCTGAATCAATATGCAAAATCTGAATGTATACATAAAAAGTACATGCATTTTTCTAGGGAGGAAATCCATAACTTTCATGAGATTCTCAAAGGGATATTAACGCCCCCCCCCCCCAAAAAAAAGGTTAGGAGTCACTGTTTTTAAAATGTCAGTGCACAAGGGCAGAGATTTTAGTTAGCGAATTCCAGCTACCAGAATATATAATTTAAGGTTAAGTTTTTGCTTACATTATACTACTTTGGTAACTAATACGAATAGAGAATTCACAATGTAGTAGCCTCACAATCTTAAATTATTCATTTGAAAGTATTTATTGACTGTTATATTAGCTAGGTGCTAAAAAAACAGTGGTAAACAAGAGAAGTCCCTGCTCTCATGGAGCTTACATTCTAGAAAGTAGAAACAAAAGAAATGAATAAACAAGAAAATTTCAGCCCTGGCCGGTTTGGCTCAGCGGTTAGAGCGTTGACCTGCAGTCCAGAGAGTCCCGGGTTCGGTTCCCGCTAAGGGCACGTACCTTGGTTGCAGTTTGTCCCCGGCCCTGGTTGGGTTGTGCGGGTGGCAGCCACTCGATGTGTCCCTTTCATGTCGATGTTTCTCTCTCTCTCTTTCTCCCTCCCACTCTATCTGAAAAATGGAAAAATGTCCTCAGATGAGGACAAAAAAAAAAGAAAATTTCATATCATACAATCACCACTGCAATAAAGAAAATAAAACAACATGATGAAATAGAAAATGATAGGAGTGAAAATAATTATATTAGTTAAGGTCCTTAGGGGAAGTCTCTCTGAGGAGGTTACTTATGAACTGAAACTTGAATAAGAAAGCTGAGGGAGGGGCCCTTCAGGAATAAAGGGAACAGGAACCGCAAAGATTCTAAAATGAGAACACTGAATACCAGCCCTTGAGTTCTCAAGGGAAAGAGCCATATCTAATCTCTAATCTACAACATTCAGAAGAGCGCGTCCCACTCACATTCAGTAGAATTTATTAAAGATAACTCAACATAATGGGAATTCAACTCAGTAAAACACTGTTTTAGAAAAATCTCTACTGTTCAAGATCATCATGAATTTACTCTTCTTCAAAGCAGACAATGTCATTAGACAAATGAGTAAAACCTTTAGGATTGTGTAATAAAACAAAGAAAAAAATAAGAACATGCAAAGATTTTTTTAGGAGTCTCTTCCAGGTAAATTGTTTTCCAAGCATACAGATTATCGAGCAAATTCTATCCATAGAATTCCGGGTTCGATCTGCTCTCCACTTCCAGAGCCTGGTTCCCTGTATTTGTAGTATTTATAACCTATGATGAGAAAAAGGGTGAAACTACAGGCAGCGTGCACAAATTAGAGGGAAATGGATTGCAGTTTCAAAGGAGCTGTCCAATAATCAACAGGTTGAACATTAGTGGAAGTATCTGGAGACTACAAAACCGTGTCTCAAGGATGTTGCAGAGACAATTTACAGGAGACCGTCAGGGCAGAGCCTCATCACCTATAGAGAATTGTTCTAGTTCCCTCTCCCAGCCTTTGGCATCCACCTTTACACTCCATGAGGTAAAAGCCTCCGAATGCAACCAACAGGGGGGATTTTTAAACATGATGGCACTGACATCGTGTCAGTATCAAAGAAAGGATTAACAAGTCCCTGTTTAAGGGGACTGTAGTGATTTGTTCACCTCCGTAATTAACATTTGGGTTAAAATCTTCAAGTTACAAGCACACCTCCCTTTATTGCGCTTCGCAGGTGTTGCTTTTTCTTGTCCACAAACTGAAGGCAAGACCCTCCACCAGCAAAAGGATCACGACTCTCTGTACTGCGGTGCTCGCTTTATTGGGGTGGTCTGGAAGGGCCCCGCAATGTCCTGGAGGTATGCTTGCATCTTTTCAAAGGCACAAAAAGAGGCTGAAGCAGTGAGCACCCACCATCGAATGCAAACCACACAACGAACTAATGTTAGCAACACCAACTCCAACGGACTTTATCACATATAAAAGCACAAGGAAACCCTAAAGAGGGACCCCAAGTAGGAGCCCGCGTCTCAAAGCACCTGCGTCGAGCCGAGCCGGCGAGGGACGGGCTGCGAGCCCCGCGTGGCGCGCCGCTCGAGTGCCGGGCGCGAGGGGCAGGAGGCACAGAGCCCCGAGGCTGGCCGCCGCCACTGACGCCGAGGGCGCCGAGGGAGCCGCGGGGCCGGGCGCCGCCCGCACGCCGTCGGGGCTGCCTGGCCCAGCCCGTTTTGCGGGTCCGGAGGGCCGTGGACTCCCAGACCCGCCCTCCCTGGAGCAGCGGGGAGGCCAGGCGGCTGCGGGGAGCTGGCCTGCGCTTACCTTCGGGCGCCGGGGGCGGCTCCTGTCGCTTTCCGCGGGACAGGAACACCTTGGGCAGCAGCAGCGACGCAGCCAGGACGAGCCCCGAGGCCAGGGCCACCCTCCGCAGCGTGGAGTACGCCATGGCCGCTCGCCCTCGCCACAGGTGCACGCGCGAACCGGAACCGGAACCGCGGCCGCAGCGCCGGCGGCCTCCTCGGAGCGAACCGCGGGCTGCGCCGACGGCGACGCGCGAGGGACAAGTGCGCGAGGCGCCCGCGCCTCCCACGCCGCGGCGCGGGGCTGACTGGCTCCTCCCGCGAGCGTTCGCTGTCAGGGGTACCCGCACTCCCATTGGTACAAAGCAGAGACTCCTCCCTCCCCTGGCGCCCCAGCGGCACCTGTGGACCCTCCTGCCCACGCAACCGGCGCTGTGCCCTCCTCTCCTTCCCGATGGCCGCCGTCCCACTGCCCACCCCAGGCACACCATCGGTTTGATACCACTTCTAGGAACTCAGTCCTCCATTCTCTCCCCCATGCCCCTGGCATCCCTTCTCCACCTGCAGCCAAAGGGGATAATGCTAAAATGTAGGTCTACTGATCCCTCTCCACAGCTGAAAACGTCTCAGCGACTCCTTTATCCTCAAGACAACTTCAAACTCCTTTCCAGAATCTCCAGGCCCCATGATCCTGTCTTACCAATGCCCCGTCAAACTTGAGCATTCGCTACTTCCCCAGCATATTCCTTGCTTTGCTAGTCCTGTTCCCTCTGCGTGGAAAATTCCTAAAGCCATGCTCACTGGAGAACAGCTGAAATATACTACCCTCGTGAAACTTGTTAAGTCGGCCTCTCCTTCCTCCGTGTCCCTGTAGGTTTTCCTTAGTGTCTTTAGTGATCTATTTAATAAACACTCTTTTAGTCCTTTCTATGTCTCATACCCTGAAATGGCACTGAAGGGGCTGGTGAGTAAGATGGGTTCCATTGTGGGGTAGATAGTTACCCAACAAGAAAATGCAGGAAATATTTTGGACTCGGGAGCGGTCAACTCACCTGGAAGCAGGAGGAGTCAGGAACAGCTCCCAAGAGTAGGTGAAATTTGAGTGAGTTTTTTTTGTTTGTTTGTTTGTTTTTTTAATCCTCATCTGAGGACATTTTTCCATTTTTTGTACAGAGTAGGAGGGAGAGAGAGGAAGGGAGAGAGAGAGGGAAACATCGATGTGAAAGGGACACATCGAGTGGCTGCCACCCGCACGACCAACCAGGGCCGGGGACAAACTGCAACCGAGGTACATGCCCTTAGCGGGAACCGAACCCGGGTCTCTCCGGACCGCAGGCAGACGCTCTAACCGCTGAGCCAAACCGGCCAGGGCTTGAGTGAGTTTTTGAAGATAAAATGATTTTTGAAGAATAAGTTACCAGCCCTGGCTGGTTTGGCTCAGCAGTTAGAGCGTCGGCCAGAGGACAATGGAGTCGCGGGTTTGATTCTGGTCAAGGGCATGTACCTTGGTGGCAGTTTGTGCTGAGCCCTTGTGGGGTCATGCCGTTGGCAACCAGTCAATGTGGCTCTATCACATCCATGTCTCTCTCTCTCTTCCTCTCTCCCACTCTATCTGATAATAAATAGAAAAATATCCTCGGGTGAGGAATAAAATAAAACAGAACAAAAACAATAAAAATAGTAAGTTACTAGGCAGACAGGTGGGAGGAGTTAGAAGGGTATTTTAGGAAAAGGATGTAAAGAAAGCAAAGGCATGAAAGCTTGAAGCTTCCTGGTGTGTTCCAAAAACCAGTATTAGTAATTCATTTTGGCTGGGCCATAGGGTTGGTGACAGGGCATAAAATGATAAGACTACAAATATAAGCAGGAGCTAGATTGTAAGAAGCTTAGATATGACTTCCATTTAAACATAGCAGATGGAACACACTAGTTTATCTTTGCTTTCCTCAGACACCTCACAAAAATGAAAATAGATAAAGTGTATCAATTACAAGACTAAAGAGAATGGGAGAAAACATGACAGTTGACAAGAAATGTCAAATTTGGTGAGATGCAACATTATCCAATGTAATGCCAGTCAGTTGTGTCATTTAAAATTTTCTAGTCACTACATTAAAAAGTGGAAATAAACAGGTTAAATTAATAATATATTTTACTTAATCCAAAATATTATCAGTACAACATGTGTAGCACTAGTCACTCACATGTCAGTGGTTCAATAGCCATGTGTGACTGGTGACTTTTCATATTGGACAGTACATGTGTAGAGGAAGTGCCTATACATGAAAAGTAAAGTCCCACAAAGAGGAAGTTTCTAAGAAGCAAACTAACTTCCCCCTCTCAGAACCTACAAAGTCTTAGGAATTGGAGGCACTGAGTTCCTTTAAAGGCAGAGATGTGGAGTAAAGCCGAATAAAAAAGGATTGTTTGAACATTTGCTATATTAAGACCATGCATGTGTCCCCAAACCTAGTTCTTTCCCTAGGTCTAGTTTTATAAATACTGTACTGGTGATAGAATAAATAAATAAATAAATAAAATATTGTTTAAAAGATTGTTTGAAAGTCTGGTTAAGAGTTGATAGTACCCTGGCTGGTGTGGCTCAGTGGTTAAAGTGTCAACCTGCACACTGAAGGGTCGTGGGTTCAATTCCTGGTCAAGGGCATGTACCTGGGTTGCAGGTTTGATCCCCAGCCCCAGTTGGGGTGTTTGTAGGAGGCAACCAATTGATGTGTCTTTCTCACATCGATGTTTCTCTCTCTCTCCCCCTCCCTTTCTTCCACTCTCTCTAAAAATCAGTGGAAAAGCCCTCCTTGGGTGAGGATTAAAAAAATAAAAAAGAATCAGTTCTTCCAAATCTTGTTCCTCAATTATTGCAGCCAGGTGGTTGGCACTACCGGTGTTGCTCAGGCATCATCATTGCTGATATTATCAACGTCACTAAATATTATCAAGTACTTACTATGTTCCAAGTAGTTTACATATCATAACAATTGATTCTTCTAACAATGTTATGAAATAAGCAATATTATTAAATATTGATGAAAAAAGCAAGGAACAGAAAACTTAAGTAACTTGACAACAATTGCACGGTAGCTGGAAGCTGTTATTTGAACTCAGGTGTACTTGAGGACTTGCCCTCTTAACTACCAGTTTTACTTTCTGGAACCAGAGAAGCTCTGGACTCATAGATAACATGTGCAGCTTAGGGAGGTGATGACTGATGGGATTTGAATTCTAAGAGGTGCAGAGGAATCTGGGATGACCCCAAAAATTCTGGCTTGGGTGACTGGTTAAACATTAATTCCATATAACAAGAATTTTGAGAAAGAAGAATCAGGTTTTCGAGAAAAATGATGAGCTCAGATTTAACTAGCTGAATTTGAGTTTCCACTAAATATCCATGTGGGGCGACCCAGTTGGATATATGGGTCTGAAGCTCAGAAGAGATGTTTGGGCTGGAAACAAACATGGAAATGATTTGCCCACCAATAGTAATGAAGTCTGGGAGAAGGTAACATTAGCAAGAGTGCTTATGAAAAGTGGTAAGAGGCCACAACGGAAACCTACGTTACATCATTATATTGAAGTTTCCAAGTATGAGGACAGAAACGCAACAGAAAAGAAGTGACCAGGTGTTAAAATTGTGAATGAATGAGGAGTTATGGGATGGTTGGAAGGTGACAGGAATGGAGGGTGTACAGTAATGAGCAGCCAGATGACAGGCTGTTCCAAGGAGTTGTCGTTTTTGTTGTAGTTGTAGGAACAGTGCAGCAGGCCCTCATAGGCACACTTCGAAGTGCTCTACACACAGATGCATTGATGATAATACAAAACTTCCCAAATAAGTGCCAGCTCATACTAGTAACCGCTTGATCTAATGCTGTTTTTTATTGTTCTACACTCAGAACAAACCTGTTTACCTCTCACCTGACGTCCCACTGTCACGGGACTTGTAAATTGCTCCCTAGAAGCTCTTGCCTATGTTGCTGGTGTTCTCATCCCAATGCTAAACGCCTTCCCAACATTCCTGATCTACCTCCTTTCTGCTTTCATGACACTCAACTCCAAGACAGAAACAAACTGCTCATGGGCTACAAGGGAGGAGAATGTTCTCTCCTCTGGTGCAGTAGGAGGCAGAAAGGGGCTCTCCCAGTCTTAGGCCCCAAGGAGTGGGGGAATTGTTTGCTGCCTTCTCCTTGGAATCTATTTCTACTCTGCCTTGTAAGGACTAGCAGAGCCCCCTGAAATATGGCCCTCAAGGCCCTGTAGCTGCTGCCAATGGAGCCTGGTTGGGGGCCCTGAACTGTTCCTCTCTAAGGGGCATCAAGAAGTCACAAAGTGTGAAGTTGGCATATACATTGTTGTTGAGCATAGTCTGACCTTTAGCCCACTCTGTTGACCTTCTTCTGTAACTTACATTAGTGATTCTCAAACTTGACTTTTTCTGACAACAGATCTTGAGTCCAGAGATCACAGTAAGTAGAAGGTTTGGGAAGTCAGGGGTAGGAGACAGAGTCAGAGTGAAATATGTGCCAAGCATTATTATGGCCATGTGAGGATGGAGGCTTGGACTTAGGATGGTGGCCACAATAAATGGGCGGGGGTCATGATCAGATTAGTCCTGGAAGTGGCCTACAGCAAAGTGGAAAACCACAGTGAAAGTCCATAGTATTTAGCTGGGGCCATATTCATTGTTGCAGCCAGGTAGGGTGTGGGCCTGGAGGAGACAGGAGCCTCCTCTGGGGGACAGAGCTGTTAGGCAGCTCATGGAGCTGCGGGAAGCTTAGGGTAAAGCCCTCTGGCTGGTGGTATCCTGGAGCAGGAGCGCATCATGTATGATTCAAGACCTCTTGAAAACCTCAGCTCTTACTCCCGAAGTGAGGGCTCAGTTTTTTCAATAAAATATCAATGGAGAACTGAGATCAGAATTCTGGTGGCTACAGGCTAAGGGAGGAATGAGTGACAGGGAAATAGTGATGGCTGTCCCACACTGTATGGAGCTCTCATGGAAAGAAAAGCGGAAAAGTATAGTGAGAACTGGAGGGTGTCTGAGGTTTGAGAGAGGTTCGTTATTTTCTAAACCAAGAAGAGGCTTGAGTATGTTTCTACATTTAGGGGGAAGACATTAGCAAGGGAGAGATGGAAAGAGTAGGAGCAGGGGGACAAGTGTTGGAGCAAAGCCCAGATTCTGGAGCAGACGTGAGGAACAGACATTAAGAACCCAGCAGTAGGGAACAGCTTGGAGGAGAGGAATAAGAGTGAGGTCAGGCACGCATAAAAGAAGTATAGGGACAGAGAATCAAGGGGGATCATTTCTTGTTGCATCAGTCTTCTTGGTAAAGGATGTGGTCAGGCCATTATCTGAGAATGAGCAGGGTGGGAGAAGACTTTCTGAGTGTGGTGAAGGTTTGGAAATAGCAAGCCCTTTGGGGCTTAAAGACAGCCAGGGATTACCTGTTTTCTCTCTCTGAAAATGAAGAGCGTCTTCTAAGCAGCACATTCTGGGCAGGACTGGGCACCCCAAAGTGTCTCCTAAGACTGGCAGCCTCCAAGGGACCCATACCAAGAGAATGAAGGCAGAGGAGAGGGGAGACTAGAGAGGCCCTTAGAAATCAGTTAGCTCAGCTGCCTTGTTATTGGGCCAAAAGGAGAACTGAGGTCTGCATCAGGATTGAAACTCATGTCTCTGAACTCCCAGACTAGGCTTCTCTTTGCGCCTGCAGGTCTGCCAGTTGTTTGGGGCAGTCATGGAGAAATTGTCTTCAAAAATAACAGCTAGACCCTTCATTTGCTGAATTTAAGAACTCCGTTGCACCCCCATGCCGTTTCCTGTCCCACAGGCTGTGGTAAGTGCCCCAGAACATTTACCACGTTGAGTTGAAAGACTTGGTCTATGAAATCAACCCTCAGTGCCAAACTTTTCTGAACATCAGGTATCAGTTGAATTCTTACAGTGGGGAAGAGAGGCTGAGGGAAATATAATTCAAGGCATTTACTTATAAATAATTATGAATTGAACTTCGAGGATGGAATTGATGGCTGTTTCGTTAACTCCTAAATATGAGGTCTCCCTGGAAAATAGAAGGACAAAGGAGAACTCATACAAGGTATCTGGAGCAAGAAGTATTTCCACCCCTGGCCGGTTTGGCTCAGCGGTTGGAGTGTCAGCCTGCGGACCAGAGAGACCAGGGTTCGGTTCCCGCTAGGGGAACATACCAAAAAAAAAAAAAAAAAAAAAAAGAGTGTAAGAAGTATTTCCAAATGGGAAATAAAAATAAAGGGGGTGGGGAGAAAGTGGAAGAAAGAAGAAGCAGCCCAAGAAGGGAAAGAATGGCCATAAAACAGCCTTCTCATAAACTCCCTGCCCACAGGCTCCCAGGTCCTGTCCAGACAAAGTTAATTTTCCTGAGTCCACGCTCTGGACCTACTCTGCTCAAAAGCCTTCAGTGACTCCCTTTTGGCTGTCGCATGAAGTCCCAGCTCATTGGAGGATCTGCATCATTTGTTCTCTTACCTCCAGTCATGCTCTCTTCTCTGGACCAGCAGGAGCTCAGCTTATTCCTCTCTCAGGATACTTCCCTGCCTGTTCTCCTTCCCTCCTCTCCTTTCACTGCCAATCTGCGCTAATACATAGGCCCAAACAAAACCGAACCTCTGCCAGGGACTCTCCAGCCTGCGCCGACCTTTCCTTTCACAGAATTCCTGTGCTCACTGTTTCTCATGGGCTCGTTGGGCCTTTTCACTTAGGCAGGAACCCTCATGGTTAGGGTTGTGTCTCCCCGTGGCAGAGTTGAGCAGAGAACTCTCTGCAGTAGGTAGTTATTGAAGTATGACGCTGCTCGTCTCACAAGCACACACTGGTTCTGCCACTGCTCCGAGCAACTAGACATCTTTCTAGGTTGGAATCAACACTTTCCTTGAAGTGTCACCTCAAAAGGTACAAATTTCTCATTATAAAATAAGTCCTTGGGATGTAGTTAGTAATACTGCATTTTATATTTAAAAGTTGCTAACAGTAGATCTGAAAAGTTCTCATAACAACAACAAAAAAAACGAGACTATGTGTGGTGATGGGCATTAACTAGAACTATTGTGATGATCATTCACAATATATGCAAATATTGAATCATTATGTTGTACACCTGCAACTAATATAATGTTATATGTCAGTTATATCTGAATTTTAAAAAGACATGGTTAAAAAAGAGACACCCCAAAGAGTCTCAAAAATTTTTTTTTCCTGGTACATGCCCCTAGTGGGAACTGAACCCGGGACTCTCTGGTCCACAGGCTGACACTTTCACCACTGAGCCAAACCAGCCAGAGCAAGAGTCTCACTTTAAAAAGTCCCTGATGTTGCCCTGGCCAGTTTAACCCAGCAGTTAGAACATCAGCATGTGGTCCAGAGAGACCCGGGTTCAGTTCCCGCTAAGGGCACGTACCTTGGTTGCGGTTTGTCCCTGGCCCTGGTTGGGTCGTGCGGGAGGCAGCCACTCGATGTGTTTCTTTCACGTCG